TGGGGGGGGTGTTTTTTGTTTGCTTGTCAGTTTTTTGGGAGCCCCCCCCCCCTTTTAAACGTACAGGCCTGTCAAAGGCATAATAATGGCTCTTCAGAAGGCATAATAACGCCGTTTGGAAAGGCGTAATAACGCCTTTGGAAAACCTTTGATAAGGCGTAATAATGCTTTTTAGAAAGTCGTAATAATGCCTTTTGAAAATTTTAAAGGTGTAATAACGCCTTTTAAATTTTTTCTTCTTCATAGATTGATTCTAATAGGCTTTCGTATTATTCCGTATTTTGAAAACTTTTGATATCAATTAATTTATGATAAGGGAGTAGAAAATATGATATGAATAAATTACATATTCAATATTTAAGAAAAAACAAAAGAATGATTAAAATGGATTCAAGATTAAAATGTGTCAAAATGAGGAAAATTGAACCAGCGGTTTAATATATTTTGGCAATTTAAAAAAAATAATGCCAAAAAAAAATAAAACAACCAGAAGACAACATCACAGTATTTGACCTTTGACCTCTTCATGTGATTTCGACCTTTATTGTACATAAAGAATGAAGCTTCCTTTTAAATATGATCAAATATCAGACCTGTATGTTAAATGCATGACAAGTTACTATGCATTAAATAACAAATGGTCATATTGTATGTAGATGGCATAAACACCCTCAAAAATGAAGGCTTTTGAATGACCAGTATATAGGATGTCTCTAATTTTTATTTTTATTTTACAAAAAAATTGTGAAAACATGTCACAGCTTATTATATTTCTCATAAAGATCATTGATTTTTGACATTAGAGTTACATTTTTTTTTCCAACGTACGTTATAAGAAATGAGTTCAAAGTTTTCATGAAAGTTCTCTACTCCCTTAATAAGTTGAAATATAACTAAATATTTACATTTCCAATGTCTTTGTCTGAGATAAAATTTTAAATAGTAAAAATACTTTATTTCTACATAAATCTACTGGTTCATCGAAAGGCGTAGTGAAAAAAAAAATATCGTGCGGGCCAGGACAAATAGAGACAGAAGCGGGGCTTGTAGCACGTTACTTCGCAGAATCAAGAGCATGTAAATATAAGGAATAACTGTCAGATTCTTTGGTTTCATGACGATGATCAATCGATTGGCTTGCGTGATAATTTCATGCATAAACGCCTTCGATGTTTATGCAAATTATCAGGCGCAAGCCAATCGATTGATCACATCATGAAACCAAAAAATTAGACAATTATTTTTTAAATGAAAACTCCATTTATTAAAGATCTTCCTAATTCGTTCGAATCTAATAAATCAGCATTAAAGGACCTGTTTCCATTGCAACAAAGGGTTTCCATGGTAAAAATACGTCATCATAAAGTTTAAAGGTATGATTGCAGAATATTCTAGTGAATATTCAAGATGAGTACATTGAATTCTACCTAGAATGTGTGCCATTTACTCTTCTTCAAGACAATGGTTATATAAAAATTTGTTTTAACTCTTTATCAGATACATCTTAGTCGTTACATGTATGTGTTCAAAATTGTTGCCATGGGATATGTAAATATAAAAACAGTTTCATTAGATCAAAATTACATTGTCCATTTGCATACACGACAGCAAGTTTTTGACATTTGAACACAGCCATTTCCATATTTCTGAATTGCTGTTAACTTTGTTAATAGGACTCTGAACGTTTTATGCATTTTAGTTTTCAAATTCAGGGCACGTTGCCATGGTAACCATGTTGCACAGCAACACGTTTTTGCCTTTTTTTGAGTTAATGATATTAAATTCTTTGACAACACATATAGCAAGTCTGTAGAAATTCCTTGACTATGTATTTCCCCGCTCATATATAAGAGTCGATGTAAATCTTTCAAACACTCAGTGTAATCAGGTGGTTGTTATGTGCTCAAAATCGTTCCCATGGGGATATTTATGCAACAAAAATACTTTTATGAGGTCCAAAATCATTTTAAATTTGCTAAACTGCAATTTTAGGACTAAATTTAGAACATTTCTTACTACTGTACATGAATATCTACCAAAATTAAGCTTTTCCGCCTTGTTGCTGTGGGGAATTCACTGTTGCCATGGAGATAAGTAATTGTACAGTAGTCGTTAGTTTGCTAAGAAGTCTGATTTATATTCTGTCTCTTTAAAATTTATTTCTGATACTCTAAGATAACAATTTATGCAATATTTCTTTGTAACACTTTACAATTATTCACTGTTTATTTATCAAAACATCCATTATTGTTGCTAGGCAACGGGCACTAATTTTCAAAAATCCCACGTGTTTGAATTCGGATTTCTTCAGGGAAATTCCTCTACTTTAATGTGAAATGCATGCAAAAGCTGTAATTTTTAGATGCAAATTTTAATTTGACCTTGAATATTGCCAAAATCAAGAAAAATGCTGAATCAGCAAAAAATGCAAAACATGTACATCTTCCAATGTCTGTCACAGAACTATCTTTAAACCTGATATCTATGTGTTGGGTTGTTAAAACACTTAAAATGTGTATCTTCATTATACCAGTGAAGAGGAATAATTTTATTCATATTTACATTTCATTTCAAGTCTTAAAAGATAATTGACTTTTTGCTCTGCCACATGGAAAAAAGTGGCCGGTTGCTAGGGAAATTTTTTTGGCCAGGTTTCCATAGTAACCATGAACCAAAACATTTTTTATTTTACATACATGGATCATAGTGCAAGAGAAATCTATGGGTGGAAAATCATCAAATTCTGAGAACCTTCATGTATCACCTTTATGCCCATTTTGTCTGATTTTTATATGGACTGGTACTTAATTCCTTACGTGAGAACTTTCCGCATAACAGGGAAGGATTTCGTATGCAGTGTAATTTGAACTCAGGAAAAAAATAAAAAGGTCATTCGGCCCCATGCACACTACATCATAATTGTCAATGTGTTCTTCTATTATTCTTTTTTGTGTGTCAGGAACATTTTTGCGGTTGTTGTAAACACATATTTTAAAACAAAAACAGAACAAAGCCCAATATTTTTATTTTTTCCTCATAAATTTCTTTGATATGCAACAAAACCCTAATCGAAAGGCAATCACAAGACATGCATTTCTTTTTTCTTATTTTAAATGTCTCATGTCAAAAATATACTTTAAAAGTACATATTTGAAAGATTGAAGATACATACGCTGCTCAGTCTCATATTTCTTTAAACATTACGTATAACATAAACAAAAAGTTCTAATTGTAAGGGAGACCGATACAGATGTCCCCAAATATTCCCTGCACCCCATACTGGTGCTCTATTCCCCTTTGACTTCATTGAATTAGCCAAAAAAGAAGTTTCCAGCTGCTTAACCACCTCACCCTGTTCCTCAGTTCCTGTGGGCCTATTTGTGTTATTTCAGCTGGCAAAATAGCTCTTTCTTTGTCAATTTTCTCAGATATAGATTTTAATTCAAATTCTATAGAGAGTATTAAAAACATGACGCCGGAAAGGGGTTATCTTTTTTCCCGAAATTCATACTTTGGGATAAACTCGCATAGACTTTTGAGTTGTTTGAACAGTGTTGAGAAAGACAAAATATTATGTTAAAAATGATTTAGTAAGAGGAAAGTCACATTCAATGGCGAGAAAATTGCAACTTGTAATGATCCGAGTTACAATAGCTTTTCGATTTTCATTGTAATGAATAAACTAGATCATAAAATCATATGAAAATGGGAACTTATGCAAATGTCTCGGTTTAACAGCAGAGGTTTCGCGTTATATAACGAGAAAGTTACGCGTTTAGTTGCGAAAGTACGCGTTATAAACCGCAAGTTCTGTGTGCATTCACCAATATTACGCGAAAAAAAAAATGAATATCGTGCGAACGACCTAATAATAATTTCAATCCTAACAAGTAAATGAAATAATTTCATGTTCTAAATGTGCTCCCATCGGTTAATTTTCTTCAGATACATGGCTGGCTGATCTTACAAATACATAAAAGAGATCCGTTGTTTTACAATAGACGGGTTGGGAGGAGTGGGTCTTAAGTCATTTTTTAGTTACTTTGCAAATCAATTAAATAATAAATAATAGATGAATGCCAAAATTACCTTCTTATTGGTAATATTGGTCAATGTAAACTTGTAGATCATGCTGCTACGAAAGAGTTTTAAAAAAAACATCTCTTTAAATATATAGTTTATATATATATATATATATATATATATATATATATATATATATATATATATATATATATATATATATATATATATATATATATATATATATATATATATATATATATATATAAAGCACTAAAAATGACCAACGACACGAGCAATAATAATTGTCAAATTTTCGGGATGACCTGTCCCTTCCTCAGGACAAAGAAAAATGTTAAGAAGTCATAAAAACAATGGAAATAAAGAAACAAAAACAACTAGCACTACTACTAAACTACCAAACACTAAATATTTACAGTATTACATGTTTAATTTGAAGTTTATATACAGTTGTGAACAAAGAAATCCGGAGCGCTATGAATTGCGTCTGGTCTATCGGGTGTACTCTGGTGAAGTGCGATTTACATAATTGAACGAATTAATTATTGCTAATTAATTACGACCAAGCAGTAAATCGTACATTGTCTTATTCTCTCAAAATAGCGTAACTATACATGATAAAAAGAAATTAAAGATAATGGGGGGGGGGGGGGCAATTTAAAATATGAATTTGGATATATTATAAATTTGGAAATCTGATAAAAGAAATAAACAAAAATGTAAGCTGTAAATATTTGGATAGGTTGTTCCAGAATTGCTTATGCGAATTAACGGTAAAGAAACAACACCAAAAATCAATCAAAACTGAACACCGGGTCTCGAATTTACAGACCTACTTAGAGAGTGACATTATACCTAAAGGTTTCCAGATTAATGTCACGCTTAACATAGGGCCAATCTTCAAACGCTTTCAAGAACGTTGGGAAGATATCACAAAGAGGTGTTCTAAACAGTTCATGTCACTCTGTCTTTCTTGGGATATCCACAAGTTAGGACAATTTGAGAGTGATATCACGTCTTTAGAATCATCCCTCACTGATAGCATGTCCCAAGCTAATCTTGATGAAGCCCATAATATTATTGACATCTATAATATGGCCCTAACAAATGAACTCAACAAGACTCAAAGAAAGAAATTTCTCCGAGACAGGGTTCCACAGACCAGGAACAACCGGTCAGAGGTCCGAGTTAACAAAACACGTAAACCCCGCTCGAGACGCTTCAAGCGCTTAACGACAATCGCGAAGGACGGACCCTCACAAACTCCTGACGTCAGCCCAGTGCTCAATAAATCTAGTGTTCCTCTCTCCGAATCGGAGACCTCACTTCTTTCCAAGAGGCTGAATTTCTGTCCCACGCCACATGAGGTCGACGAAAAACAAGTCAGAGGACACCCGAGCATTCTTTCGGAGACTTCGGTTGAAGGAGCACTTTTCTAGAAAAAACTCCGACGTTGACTCATATGACTCTTCTCAGCCACAATTGCATGACCTAGAGGAACACAAACTCTATCGGCCCAAAAGTGACTGGGAACCTGCACCGGGCAAATGCGGAGCCCTTGAGTCGTATATTGACGCCCTTGAGTCAGACATAGAGAAACTCCTTTCAATGCCAGACAAGGCTCCCGACAATTTGAGTAAGGAAGAGAGATCCGCCTTACAATCATTAAAGAATCGGGATGACATAGTAATCAAGAAAGCAGACAAAGGCTCTACAGTAGTAGTACTTGATAAAGAGACGTACATGGCGGAGGCCCATAGACAACTCTCAGACGAACGTTTCTATAAGAAACTGGACTCTGACCCTACTGAAGAATTCTCCACCGCCATCACCAAAACTCTTGACTAAATGTTTGAGAAAAACGAGATTGGTATCAACGTCTATGAGACACTCAATCCTTTTGACTGTAGACCCGGACAATTTTATCTGCTTCCTAAGATACACAAAGAAGGTATGCCAGGTCGCCCTATAGTTAGCGCAATTGGACACCCCACGGAGAAAATTTCTGAATACATTGATCTACATCTCCGTCCACACGTAGAGAATTTGCCATCCTATCTCAAGGACACCACGGACTACATTAACAAGACGCCCTCTACTGGCCTTCCAGATCATACCCTTCTCGTGACTATGGACGTCACATCTTTGTACACCAATACTCCGCACGATGAGGGTATCGAAGCCTTTAGAGAAGTCTGGGATAGTAGATCCATACAAGTTCCTTCTACCGAGTCCCTTGCCAAGCTCCTTGAACATGTTCTCAAGTATAATAACTTCATGTTTAATGGAGAACATTATCTGCAGGCTAATGGCACTGCTATGGGTACGAAAATGGCACCATCTTATGCCAATATTTTCATGGGCAGACTTGAACGCAACTTGCTACTTCAAGCACCATTTAGGCCCCTTAGCTGGCTGCGTTTCATTGACGATATAGAGATGAAGTGGGTGGAATGCCGCGAGATCCTCGAGGCATTCATTTCGTTTGCCAACACCTTTCATCAGTCTATCAAATTTACAGTAGACGTATCTAATTCGAAAAACATATTCCTAGATACTACATCTACCCTGACTGATGGTGAAATCGAGTTCAGTCTCCACACAAAACCCACAGATTCCCATCTGTATCTTATGCCAACTAGCTGTCATCCCCCACACACATTTCAGGGTGTGCCTTAGGGTCTAGCCACCAGAATTCGGCGCATCGGTTCATTCCCTGCCTTATATCAGGAACAAAGCGGTCTCCTCAAGTACCACTTATGCAAGAGAGGCTACAATGCCCGCACCGTACAAACTGCTTTTGATGAGATGGCGGGACATGACAGGCAAAACCTATTACGCTACAAGGAAAAAGACAATAACGGCAGGGTCCCTCTGGTAACCACATACCATCCCGTCCTAAAGAACCTCAGCGGTATCCTTCAAAAGAACCTGCCAATTCTCCACTCAAATAAACGAATGGCAGAGGTCTTTAAGGAGCCCCCATTGGCTGCATACAGACGCCCGAGGAACCTAAAGGACATGGTAGTTAGAACCAGACTGGACAATCCATTACCTAACGGGGGCTTTAAAACTTGCTCTGACAGAAGATGTCTTCTCTGTAAGCACAACTCTGACACAGACAGTTTTAACAGCCCCGTTACAGGCCGCAGCTACAAAATACTAGGGAATTTGTCCTGTCAAACAGACAACTGCATTTATCTCATCAGTTGCAAAGTTTGCTCCAAACAGTATGTTGGTGAAACAAGAGATCTCCACAGGAGAGTCAATAATCACCGTTCTACCATTAGAACCAAAAAACTCCGTTGGAGAACATTTCAACCTTAAAGGTCACGAATGGGAGGACATGACAGTAGTGGTTATTAACCATAATCCAAGATGGACAGACACTCAGATAAAGGGCAAGGAAAAGTTCTGGATGCACAGGCTGAAGTCATTCCGCCCTAATGGTATAAACAAACTTAATGACTTCACCAGGATGAACGTGAACTAGACCTAATCCCGGATTATAACAAACAAGTTCATTCTCTCTATATAGTGTAAACTTTACCGTTAATTCGCATAAGCAATTCTGGAACAACCTATCCAAATATTTACAGCTTACATTTTTGTTTATTTCTTTTATCAGATTTCCAAATTTATAATATATCCAAATTCATATTTTAAATTGCCCCCCCCCCCCATATTATCTTTAATTTCTTTTTATCATGTATAGATACGCTATTTTGAGAGAATAAGACAATGTACGATTTACTGCTTGGTCGTAATTAATTAGCAATAATTAATTCGTTCAATTATGTAAATCGCACTTCACCAGAGTACACCCGATAAACCGGACGCAATTCATAACGTTCCGGATTTCTTTGTTCACAACTGTATATAAACTTCAAATTAAACATGTAATACTGTAAATATTTAGTGTTTGGTAGTTTAGTAGTATTGCTAGTTGTTTTTGTTTCTTTATTTCCTTTGTTTTTATGACTTCTTAACATTTTTCTTTGTCCTGAGGAAGGGACAGGTCGTCCCGAAAATTTGACAATTATTATTGTTCGTGTCGTTGGTCATTTTTAGTGCTTTATATAAATTTCCATCCGTGACCTTGTATCTACTTAGTAGATCCGACACTTAGGATATACAGTGTTGTTGGTTTTTAGTGCTTTATATATATATATATATATATATATAGATATCTATATATCTATCTATCTATCTATCTATCTATCTATCTATCTATCTATATATATATATATATATATATATATATATATATATATATATATATATATATATATATATATAATATATATATATATATAATATATATATATATATACATATATATATATATATATATATATATATATATATATATATATATATATATATATATATATATATATATATATATATATATATATATATATATATAAAAATCCAAAAAATCACAAAATATTTTCTGCAAGCGCTTGCAGAAAATATTTTGTGATTTTTTGGATTTTTATTTTTAATACACCCAGCAAAACTGTACCGGTTCTTGATTTTGTTTTTGAAATTATATATATATATATATATATATATATATATATATATATATATATATATATATATATATATATATATATATATATATATATATATATATATACATATGTGATTGCGCCCATGACAAAAGGGCCTTATGGCAATTTTGCTAAAACAGAGAAATAACGTCATAAAGATATGACGTTGCAGACGGTGAGCGTCGACGCAAGTTTTTTTTTTTTTTTTTTTTTTTTTTTTTTTTTTTTTTTTTTTTTTTTTATCCACGTGTTTTACATTTTGACACGTCTAGCTCACTTTTGTCGTTGTTCTCAACACTGAAATAATTATTTATTTTCATTTATATCTTTAATTCACGTCTTGATCTTCTAGTCCACTGATATTAATTAAAATATTTAGAATTTTATCGAGACCCGTTTCTTTACTACACGTTATTGTAGCTTTATGTACGTCTCTGATCTGGGCTATGCATTTCCTATGTACATGTATAGAAGCTTCAGATAAGGTGATTTTCTGGATAATTGAATATGGATGAACGAATGCGATTTTGATATATAGACAAATTGAAGTTATTTGTTAGACATGGGTATATTATCAAAATATTGCAGAGGAAATCGTTTTCCTGTATAAGATCCGCCCCACCATTCTCAACACATCGGTCATGTAAACATTGAAGCATTGGTACATACCGTGCATTGTGCATAAATTTTTGTTGTAAAATGCTTTAATTGCCAAAAATTTGAAACTGCTCACACTTCTTCCAACAGAAAAGAAAAGTATTCTTGTAAGTTTTCACAAATCTAGCAAAAGTACGAACGAATGACAGACATGATATTATTTTTAAGAACTATAAATAAAAACAAGAGAGGTAACTCTGACAAGCGAGATACTAAGAGAGGTACCAGAGAGGGACTTTCTTTCTTTTTTTTTAACACCATTAAAAATTAACATACTCATTCAAATTTGCTCCCGTAGTATAAAAAATATTTCTAAAAATCTTACTTATCATCAGTTAAAAAAACGTTTTAATTGTAAGTATTATGTTTATATTTTCTTTAAAAGTATTTTTGAAAGCTCATGTAACTAGCTGCTGTCAAAGTGAAAGAGAAAAAAATATAGAATAAGAAATAGATGCTACATTGAACCAGACTTTCATTTATTTTTTTTTTTTAAATCTGTTACATGTGCATCTATTTATTTCAACATGAAATTATTTTTTAAAAAATTGAATTTTAATTTTTTTTTCTCAGTAATAATGATCATAAATTTAAATAATATAAAATTATATTAAAAAAAATTGTTTCGTCTTATTTTTGTTGTTGCCACTTCCGATGTAAGTACTTGAAAACAAACAAAAACTACCGAATGAAGTAAAATTGTTCTAATTGTTCTAGCTTAAAAAAGTTTACATGTATGTATACCTGATGTGTGTTAGAGAGAAGGAGAGAGATGTTACATTAAATCCAGTTTATTAATACAATGTGAAATGTGAAACTTTAATGAAAAGGCGAATTTTCAAAAACAGAACAATATCGTATTATGAAAAGAAATCTCTATCTCTTTTTTTTCTTTTGCTGTCTATTTATTTTCAGTAACTCGAAAATATAACATTTTGGTAATCGTGTTGTGCATAAAAAAGTTCAAAGGTTTTAGCTTTATCTGTAGTTTTTAGTCACTTAAAAGTCAAATATATGTAATCATTGTCATTCATAGAATCTCAGCATTGTATGTCATTACGGTTCTATTATCAATCTAAAACTCGTTTTCTTATTGAAATAATATTAATCTCAGTTATCGGTTTAGTATGATATTGCTTAACTTGCCGTTGAATTATGTTAACGGGCTGATTTTGTGATTTGGATCTATTGAAATAAATCTTGTTAAGATCAAATTGTATTTAAACATGCATTGTACAAATTAAATTAAATGCTAAAAATATACTGCACAAAAGACTAAGAATATGTTTGCAAGTTTTTATTCTTGTGGCAGTGCAGGAGACCGGGGAAGAGGGCCAGGGTCATTTTATATTACCGGGACCTAACTACTTTACAGTGTATCTGTAAAGCTTTACAAGGATAAGCATATCCAAGTCTCTGGCATGGGGCCAGAATGGGATTTTTATATTGTAAAACTTCATATACAATAACATTTGAAAACAATAACATCAGAATTTCATACGATTAAGAAGCCGCGAGAAATGGGGGGGAGGGGGGGGGGGATTCTACATACACCATCACATAACAATATTTACATGTACTTAAATGTGTGCCACATTGTAAAAATTTGTCATTTAAAAACTCAGCCAGTCA